AAAAATAACTTATTTCCCTTGAGCCATCTTCAGCCCCTCTTTCTCCTTTGATGTTCACACTGTCCTTCCAGCCTTTCTCATATTACCCTTATCTCCTGCCTCTCCTGACGTGTCATTTTCTCCCCCTTTTCTCTCTCTTCTTTTCCTCCCTTCACAGTTCAGTCTCTCCTCTCCCTTTGTACACAATCTCTTTTGTGCCTCAGTTTTTTTTCTGCTCTCTGTGCCCTCTGTGGCCTCTTCCTCCTGCTGCTTTCACCTCCTCTTCCTCTGGGATTTTCCGTTATCCTTGGAATAGCTGGTTTGCTTTTAACGCACACGTGTCTGCATTTTTCTTCCAGCAGCTCTTTTCCTAGGTCCTGACCTCCGTGAGGAAATCTCCCCTTTCTTTTTTCTCATTTCATGGAATTCTGCTCAGCTGGGCCCAAGCCAGGTGGAATCAGTAGCTTGACCTTGGAGATCTGGAGCGTGGTTTCCATGGCTGTGGTTTAGCAAAGCACTGTGCTACGGGGAGGAGAGCTGCAGGAAGGAGTTATGGACTCTACGTGTCAGGATGGAGCACTGTTGCCGAGTCCTGCATCCCAGAAAGGGGCAGGAGAAGGAGTGAAGCCCAGGGAAGGGCAGCAGAAGGGGTGGTAGGAAGGTGAAGGTTACGTGAGGCTGGATGAAGGGAGAAGTGGGAAGCGGTTGTAGCAGAAAGGAGAGAGCGTTGGCTGGTGTTGGAAGCGTTGGGAGAAGAGATTCCAGAAGACCTACTAGATTGAACACCTAAAGAGAGTATGAGTAACATCTTTCATGATTCTGCTCTAGCAGTTAAGAAGATGAAGTTTGTGTCATTTCTGAGTAAATGAGAGTTTTGGGGCTCCTTGACCATACCTCAGGAGAGAATGGGGTCATGTTGAACGTTGGCCATGGTCTGTTGGAGCCAGTGCTCTGCACATCTAGTGTTTCTCAAGCCCTAGAACCCATAATTAATGTTTAAAAAAATTGGCTACTAAGAATCTCACGATAAATGTACTTGTTTGGTGTGTAGCCAGCTAGACTCTCCAAATCAGCTCAGGAGAGGAGGTGATCACTGGAAGTAAAATATGCATCGTGGAAGTGTGAATTATTTTGAAGCTCCTTTTCAAGCAGGAAAGGAAATTATACAAGTTTGTAACTTCTGGCATTTGGTATTTAATATAAACAACACAATGCCTTGGTTTCGCAGCATGAAGTCACTCGACTTGTCGAAACTGCATCCTCAGCCCTTACAAAAATGACACAAACGGGTATTTTGAACAGTTCTCTTGGTGTTACTTTTTCCATCCGTTGTTGCAATCCGTTTCTCTTGAGTTAAAGTTGCTTACTCAAGGGTATAGGCAGCGTATTACTTATGTTTGCAGTCCAGTGGTTTAAACTTTATCGAACTTTAGAGCAAGGAATTTTTCAGCTCCCAACTTTGTAAACACCATTTAACAAAGCTGATAGCTGAAATAAAGGTTAAAAAGTTTTGGAAGTCCATTTCAGTGTTTATAGCGTTTAGTGCGATGTGATGACAAAGTTCAAATTGAAACTATGATTAGAAAAATTATGCCTTGCATCGTATCAGACAAAAATAAATGTTTGCTGGTGACAACATCCAGGCAGGCCCATGCCTTTGGAAGAGCATGCTGTTCCCTGGTGATTTCGTTCATTGTAACACAGTTTCAAGATAAAATTAAATGTTTAATTCAAGGATTTGGTTTATGGTGAGAGCTGGTCGTAACTTTTTCATGCAGTTCTTTAAAGAAAAGTAGTTCGATTTATGGAAAGTGAAGCTTTTATTGAGAGCATGCCTTTTTCTGAAAGGTTCATTTCCAGCCTATACAAGTTCTTGCTTTTTTTTTTTTTAATTTATTTTCTTGGATGTACTTCTTGGCTTCTCCAGCTGAGCAAGAGGAGAGACTAATAAACACCCCAGAATTACAAGTAATGTACGGAGTGGTCATGTCAGATGCAGAGCAAGGTCTGGACATGGTATCCCATACCTTAGAAGAGAATCCTAAGCAGTGGAGATACCAATCCATCCCTCTTGCTGCATCCTTGAGCAATTAATAAAGTGAAATAATTGGAAAGAAACCTTCCCCAGAGCATTAGTGGCTGGGTATTAATTGCTTTCACCTAATACGAGGGAGAAAGGGCTGGGTTTGGACCTGTTAGGGGATGAGCCCTGTCAACACCAACTCGTTGGTTGTCCTGAAGTCTCTTCCATTCACTTTTCTCATTAACCTTGGTCTCATTCCCAAGGGTGGAAGAGGGAAATTCTTTGAAACCTTGAAAAGTTTTACAGGGTGAGAAATCTGTTTCCCACCCCGCTCTGGTTGTGTGAGCGAGGAGCCTGATTTCCAGCACCAGGCTCCGCTTGCAGCACTGGCTTTTGGCAGTCTCTCTTTGATTTAAAGATAGAGAAAATGTCACGGAGAATAAATATCATCAAAATGAAATTTTGGAGCACTTGCATTGCTGAGAACATCATAATGCATTTCCTTTGCTTGCTTTTCCAAACCTTTCATTGCTTACTGGTTTTGCTTCAAATCCACCTATGAAACATTGCATTTATTCTGCTGTTGAAGGTTTTGTCAATAATACCAGTAAATCCAGCACAGGGATCAAGAATGTCCATGAAGGGGCTTAAGTTAATGGAGTTGTAACTATGTATGGCCCAATATCTTCAATTAATTGAGTTGTTAACTATGTGTGGCCCAATGCCCAACAGCGACCATTCCCTTGATGGGTATTGGTGTGTCCCCTTTTCCATGACGTGGCTCTTTAGATTCCTGGAAGAAGTTAATTGGCCTCTCGTAAAAAGGAGACTTCCTACACGCCTGGTGTGTAGGAAACAAGAGCTCTACGTACCCCGATTTGGTTTCTGTTGCCGGGAACCTGATATCAAGGGATGGCTGCTTAAGAACTTTATACTGTGGAATCCACAAGTTATAATCCCCACATAAATAGGATTGTTGAAAAGAAATCACTGCCTTTATTATTGCTTTACTCGGTGCTGTTCTCGAAGGGAATACTTTATATTTTGGCTGGCCGGGAGGAAAAAATTCTGTTAGGAATTTGGAGGTATCCATTAAAGCTTAAACACGTGTATTAGGGCTTGGTGCTTGAAAGAACAGCCTGGCTTTGTCATCACTGCACGCATCGCACCTCGTTCTGACTGTGGAAGGAATCATTGTGTTATACCCCATCAGTTATTTCATATATTTCTATTTCAAATGAAAAGCCAGCACTGAGCCAGCAGCGTGTGAGGACCCCACAGCCTGATGTTTTCACTCCTGGGTACCATCCTGCTCGGTGCAGAGCTCGGAGCCTGGACACTCCACCCCACGAGGGCTGGCCAGAAAGCCTTCATCACGGCCAGTAGCCCCAGGCCACCTTTCATCTGAGCCCAGCTGGCCTCCAGAGAGGCCCCAGCAACCTCGTGTGCGCAGTGTCCTCACTTATTGTCCTTTTTCAGGGAGTTGGAGAGAGCAATAAGGTCTCCCCTCAGCCTCCTCTTCTCCAGGCTGAATAACCCCAGTTCCCTCAGCCTCTCCTCATAAGACTTATTCTCCAGACCCCTCACCAGCTTTGTCACCCTTCACTGCACGCATCGCATCTCGTTCCGACTGCGGAAGGAATCACTGTGTTATACCCCCTTGGTTATTTCATATATTTCTATTTAAAATGAAAAGCCAGCACTGAGCCAGCAGCGTGTGAGGACCCCACAGCCTGATGTTTTCACTCCTGGGTACCATCCTGCTCGGTGCAGAGCTCGGAGCCTGGACACTCCACCCCACGAGGGCTGGCCAGAAAGCCTTCATCACGGCCAGTAGCCACAGGCCACCTTTCATCTGAGCCCAGCTGGCCTCCAGAGAGGCCCCAGCAACCTCGTGTGCGCAGTGTCCTCACTTATTGTCCTTTCCAAGTTCAGAAATTGGGCTTTTTTTTTCAGTATTTATATTTTTTGCTACCACGCTCCAGGGCAGTGGTGGTGGGTTTGGTACAAAACTCATCCCACCTGCCTCGCCGGGATATTTTTGGATACTATCGGTGACATTTGAAAAGAAAACCCGGTGAGTGGGAGCTGGAGAGAAGCTTTTTTGACCTGGCAGAGGCTCCTACCAAATGGCCGGGCGATGCTGCGAGGAGGCTGGTGCCAGCAGGGGAGCGGGAGGAACTGGAGCAGCCTGCCCAGGGCTTCACAAGCAAAATTGAGGATTTTTGTGGGCTTTTTTTTTTCATATCGCAAAGAAATCAGGAGAAGTTGGCAGCTTGGCCTGAGGAGATATCACTGGTTCTCTGCTCATTTTAATAAGTGGGCAGAATTTAGTGGGTTCTAGCGGAGTTTGAAGAGCTGGGAAAATCAGGTGATCTGGGAAAAGAGGAAGGTTTCCTTTTTTTTTTTCTTTTTTAATTGAATTGATTTTCTGAATGAAGAGAGGGATGGGTGAGTAATGTGCACTGAGCCTGACGTTCCCCACATTGACTGGTGCCTGCAGAGGCTGCCTCGCTGTAAGGTGCTCGGCCGGTGCGCTCTGCCGGCTTCTGCAGAGCCTGACAGCTGAAAACAACAAATAAAAAACAAGTTCTAGAAAACAATCACAAGCTATTACTGACACCGAGTCCTTCAAGGGAGCTCGGGGCACAATCCTCTCGCTCCCCGCTCAGCGCGGGGCTTCAGACCCGTCACTCACTGTCGGCGTCCCTCTCCGTCAGCAGCGACGGCTTCATTTCATGTATTCCTCAAGTGGCAGGTCCGGTCATTTCTCAGGATCAGGGCTCTGTTTTTACCAACTGATTCATCCGGATTCTTGTCATGAGTAGTTAACACTCGGGATTGGGGAAGACTTGGCCTGCCAGAGGACATCACACTCAACCGAACAAAAAAACGCTGCTTTTAACAACTTGCGCGTCTCGCGTCTGATGAAGACGCATTATTTATATATATATATTTTTTTAATTTTATTTATTTTCGTTCTTTTTCTCTTTGCCAGGTGGTGGCTTATCACTACTGCCAGGCTGACAACGCCTACACCTGCCTGGTGCCGGAGTTCGTGCACAACGTGGCCGCCCTGCTCTGCCGCTCGCCCCAGTTCGTGGCCTACAGGGAGCAGCTCCTGCGGGAGCCCCATCTCCAGAGCATGCTCAGCCTGCGCTCCTGCGTGCAGGACCCCATGGCCTCCTTCCGCAGGGGCGTCCTGGAGCCCCTGGAGAACCTGCACAAAGGTATGGTGCTCCCTACTCTTCCCCTGAGCTGCCCCATACCTTTCTTATTGTGACTTTTGAGGTGCTGCTTGGTAGTTTGAGAGGGGAGTTGTATCCAAGCATTTAAACAAAGCCGTAGATTAACCCTTCTGTGTCGCCTCTCAAGAGCTGCAGAGAATCATAGAATCATCTGGGTTGGAAGGGGCCTTTCAGGTCATCAAGTCCAACCATCAACCCAACACTGCCCAAACCGCCACTGACCCATGTCCCTCAGCACCACGTCTGCCCGGATTTAAATCCTTCCAGGGATGGTGACTCCACCACTGCCCTGGGCAGCCTCTTCCAAGGCTTGATAACCCTTTCAGTGAAGAAATTTTTCCCAGTATCCATCTTAAACCTCCCCTGGTGCAACTTGAGGCCGTTTCCTCTTGTCCCATCGCCTGTTCCTTGGGAGAAGAGACCGACCCCCCCCCGGCTACACCCTCCTTTCAGGGAGTTGGGGAGAGCGAGAAGGTCTCCCCTCAGCCTCCTTTTCTCCAGGCTGAACACCCCCAGCTCCCTCAGCCTCTCCTCATAAGACTTGTTCTCCAGACCCCTCACCAGCTCTGTTGCCCTTCTCTGGACCCACTCCAGCCCCTCAAGGTCTTTTTTGTGGTGGGGGGCCCAAAACTGGACACAACCCTTGAGGTGGGGCCTCACCAGTGCCCAGTACAGGGGAACGATCACTGCTCCAGTCTTGCTGGCCACACTGTTCCTGACACAGGCCAGGATGCTGGTGGTCTGTGTGTCCACCTGGGCACACTAATGGCTTTGTTCCTGACACAGGCCAGGATGCTGGTGGTTTACGTGTCCACCTGGGCACGCTAATGGCTCGTGTTCAGCTGGATGTGGACCAAGAGATGGAAGGGCGTGGGATCTGGAGAAGCTGAGAACATGCCATGGTGCGTGTTTGGAAGGGAGGGGTTCACCATCCCTCCAACCTGTGTGTCAGGGCTGTAGATGAAACACTAACGACAGCATGAGTTTGGCTTTCTCTTTTCTTGCTTCCCCATCCCAGACCTGGCCTCAAAGCTTTGAAGGTGACAACAAGCAACAGTTTCCATGCACAGCTCTGCTTGTGGCAGTGTGTCCTGATTTATTTGTGTAGGGAGTGAATGGTTTTTCCTTTCCCTGCTGTTTCTTAGTGGGCTTTTGAGAATTTGAAGCTTTGACCAAAAGAGCTGATACCAAAAAAGCCTCAAGATACCCTCTGTAAAGCTTCTAGGGGAACCGGCAACAACCTCAAACTGAGAGTGGATTTCAGAGCTTTTTCTAACGCAGCATTGGGTTTAGCCATCTCCCTTTCTTTCTTTCCTCTGCAAGATGTAACTAATTCCTTGTGACAGTCGCTAAATTTAAGATCTTTGCTCGTTGCCATGAAAACTGGCCGAGCGTTGCCGGGTTCAGGACCGGTGTCCTGCGAAACGAGGTTCGTTAGAGAACGGCGCGCCGCAAAAATCCTGCTACCCCCCCTGTTACCCCCCTACAGATGCCCGTGTAGGAGCCAAGGGGAAATAGATGCAGCTTCTCCGGGCTTCAAAGCCCCGTTGATCAAATCAGGTTCCTCAAAACACAGTGTCCAAACTCGGAGCTGAAGCATCTGGGGCCAATCCATGCAGTTCCACCAGGCAGGGCTTGACAGCAGTCAATTTTCCTGGCATGGAGCAATGTCACTGTAGGAGTAGCATGGCTACTCTTCCTACCAACACTCCTGACAAAAAAAGAAAAAAACCCATATATTTAGGAACCTCTGCTCTAAAGGAAAATAATTCCTGGTTATTACAGTAACTCCTTGGGAGGTATTCCAGCCATTGAGTTCAAAGCATTTTGGAGGATACTTATTTTTCTCACCAAGCAGGTTGACCCCCATGTGGTCCTAAGTTCTGAGGGGTGGAAAAATCTTATATAAAAGCTTATTTTTTTTTTTCCTCTTGGGTTCTGCACTCAACACAGCTCCAGTGGAGCCAGTGATTGGGACTCCCATCCTCGCTGATGGAGAGAGCTGGCAAGCTAATTTGCACCAAGAGTTTTGTAACAAAGTGAACAGTGTCTGGAAATTGGTTTTAAAATATGTAACATTTAAGACTCTGTAAATATATCAGCAGGTCTTTTACAAGGTGCTGTTGAAGCTTTAATGCTACTGGGACAAAATTATTGCACGACCATTAATGGTGAATGTCACTGAGAAAGTTAGATTCGTGTTTCTCAAATATATATATATTTTTTTTAATCTCAAGGAATCTAAATAATATATGAGAGAACAAAGTTCTGATTCTTCCTCTACTCCCCGTTTTCTCCTCTTTATAAGAAACATGAGATGTGGGTATAAAACTCAGGCACTATATTCACTCCAAGGTTTCAGAGAGTCATAAAGTGTCTTTTCTAGTGTACCAAATGAGCTTACTGAGGAGTTAACTGAAAAGGGAGCTGTGGTAATTTTAGTGCAAAATATGCCTTCTTCATATGGATATTAATAGTATGTTAGGAAATAAATGCGACTTGCTGAGACAAGGCAAGGGCAAGGTGGGGTTTTGATGCTCGGCAGTACCGAGCACAAGGTGTTTACACATTTCTCTTCTCCCCAGAACACCACAGAGACTGCTGGTGCTACCAAATGAGCTTACTGAGGAGTTAACTGAAAAGGGAGCTGTGGTAATTTTAGTGCAAAATATGCCTTCTTCATATGGATATTAATAGTATGTTAGGAAATAAATGCGACTTGCTGAGACAAGGCAAGGGCAAGGTAGGGTTTTGATGCTCGGCAGTACCGAACACAAGGTGTTTAGACATTTCTGCTCTCCTCAGAACACCACAGAGACTGCTGGAGTCACCCATGAACATTTTGTGCTGGGTTTTATAGAAAATTTCCTGATGCAATTTAAAGTCAAAGGGAAAATCTGACCTGCTGTTGGGAATACAGAGCTGTTTGATAGCAGGATTTCTTCGTAGTACTTTATAGAGGAGAGGAAACTTTATACAGACCAGACCCTGTAGTACGTATTAGTTGCATATGCCAACAAGAGACTCTTGTTTCCCACCAGTTTTTGAGTTTATTTGGCAAGATTTCCTTTGAGAAGATACCTCTTGAGCTTAAGATGCAAGTCTAAAAGAATCTACATCATCAGTTATAAAACTCTCCTCAGCTCTCAGCATCTGACATAGAAACACTGACTTCATTGTCTCCATCAGCTTGGTCGCTGGGTTCACCAGCAGCAAAAAAACCCTGTTTAAAAAGTCCCTGATTTACTTTTTGTAGGATCTTTTTTATTCCCTCCTGACTGGTTTATAAAAGAGGTTTGGCCACAGTCTGGTGATCAAACTGGTTTATGGAACTGGGAGCTCAGAGTGGGTTTGAGCCATCCCTGCTGAGCAGAGGTTGGACCCCCCCAGGATGTCAAATGACCAGCCCCCAGCTGCTGATTCACTCCTCAAACCATTTCTTCCTGGGAATCAGGTTCCCTTCTGTCTCAGAACACTTGCCCAGACCTCAGTTGAGCAGAAGCCTGTGCTGAAGAGGTGCTGGGGAGGCAGATTTCTTGGTGAAGCTTCATTTAGCAGTTGCAAAAATTAAGACAGGCTGACATCGGGGTGAGAATTTAACACCAAAACTATAAAGAACCACTAATAAAGTGTGTATTATTAGAAAGATACTGATTCAAATTTTCAATTTCAATTTCAAAATTCAAGTAACACTGGACTTTGTGGAAGAGGTAATTTCTAATAAGAAGACTAGCTGTTTTACTGGTGGGATATCAGAGTTGAGTGTGTCTGTGTCGTAACTAAAATAAGCATTTTATAAAAATTGCTTTTTCTTTTTTTCTTTCTCTCAGAGAGGAAGATCCCCGATGAAGATTTCATTATATTAATCGATGGTTTAAACGAGGCTGAATTTCACAAGCCCGATTATGGAGACACTATAGTATCATTCCTGAGCAAAATGATTGGAAAATTCCCTTCCTGGCTGAAGCTGGTCGTGACAGTCAGGACAAGCCTACAGGTATGGTGGGACCAAGAACTGTGTCGTTGTCGTGGTGGGCTTTGGTAGGATCTTAATGGGGATCTGCATTCGCTTAGGACCCTTTATTTCAGGTTATCCTTTTGGCTTCTTTGTACTTGGATTTCCATTTGTGTCTATTCCATGTGTAGGTTTGTGTAGATTCCATTTGAATCTAATCCAGCATCACTTGCTCACGTCAATAAATGTTCATCAGCAAATAGTTTAGTTCATCTAAGAGAGACAACTCACGTGCCAACGGGCTACTTAATCACCGAGAGTGTTGGGAGGGTGGGACCTGGTGTCTGCCAGCCTGTGCTGCCCCAGAACATCCTCTCCTCCATCTGGAGGGGCGAAGGAATCCACATCTTCCTACCCCTTCTGCGTGACCTGAGCGTGAGGGTGTGATTCTTTCCGTCTGGAGGAGTCGATGTCAGGCCAGGACATCATTCAACTCGATGAAGAATACCTTGAGCAGGGGCTGAAGCTCTAAGCTGAACGTGGTTTGGGTTATTTTGAAGTAGTTTTATTGCAGTTTGCAGGTTTTTACCTTCAGCCTGTCTTTAGCTACTCGTCACCACTCTCTTGGCATAAGGATTAAGCTGACCTTAGAGCCTTGGCTAATCTGAACAGGGTGAGCTGGGAAGCAAACACAGCGACCCAGTTAGGGCAGATCTGCTCTTTTGACAGTAGAGCTTGCTGATCTGTAGCATCACTTGTGGGGATCCTTCACACTGAGCCAGGAGCCCAGAGGAGCCCCACATCAGAGGGACGAGAGGCTTTTTGGGAGCCAGCTCAGAGCCGCGCTTCGGCTGGACCAGCTGCTCCGGCCACAAAGGCTTCTCTGCAGCTTTGCATTTCTCATTTGGTCATTATTAGCCATGTTTTTCATGATTGCAGTGCTGCGCTATGCGTTTTTACCGAGCTCCATTAAGCAGTTTTTATTGAGATTTGCTAATATTTAGTGGGATCCACAGGTTGAGGTACCTTGGTCCTCCCAGCAGGGAGCTGAGCGCTGGTTCCAGCTCCACCACAGCAGCCCGGCTCCTGCCCAGGAGCTGGGAATGGCAGCTGCTCCCCAAGACACCAGGACAGCAAGGACTATCTGCTGTTCTTTTTTTTCTTTTGCTCGATAACGGAGTAGATTAAACATCGCAAGACACCAGGACAGCAAGGACTATCTGCTCTTCTTTTTTTCTTTTGCTCAGTAACGGAGTAGATTAAACATCATTTGGAAGAAATCTGTCTGTAACTGTAGGGAAATTGCATCCCTCTGACTTGAATTCCTCATTTCATTAGGGCTTTCACAGCCCTGCAGCCTTCACTGCAAGCTTTGCTTTTGCACTGTGCTCACCCTCTTTGATTTATTGGAGAATCGATGCCTTCTCATGCCTTGTCCAGCTCCGTTGCATCATTTCTCCCTGTTTCACAGTGCCTGAGAGCCCATGACACGAGAATACCTTTGAAAAAGCCTTTGATGATCTCCAGTTGATGTTGCATAAGTAGCATCAGTGAGCTCAGCAGATAGAGGATCCCTGGCCACACTATCCTGCAGCAGATAAATGCATTTATTTCGCATTGGAAAAGACTCTCTGTTATCTATCCTGATGTTTCCATGCATTTCTGTGCACTTGGCTCAGCTTCAGCAAAATTTCTGCTGGCCTCAGGTCCATCATCTGGTTGCCCTTTCTCTGGCAGGAAGGGCTGGGCTGTCCATACGTGGTCAGGATGGGGTGGGAATAAGGAGGGCACTGCGCTGGGTGAATCTCCCAGCCCTTTTCTGTGGATGAAATATTAGGAACCGTGTACCATAGAGATCATCTAGTCCAACTCCTCTCAGTTCTTTTCCGTGGATGCGGTATGAGGAACTGTGCCCTTCATTTTTATTTCAGTCATGTTTCACACACAATCTACTTGATTATAGATGAGATTGTGAGGTCCTGAGGGCACAAACTGCCGTCTCGTGTGCTTGCCCTGATGGAAGAGGCCTTAAAGGAGTCTCAAAGGTGCTATTGTAATGTGAATTAAGTTTACTTAATGAATAATAAACACTGCCAGCATGAGTATCCTTTTTTTTTTTTTTTCCCTTTCTTTGTAGGAAATAATTAAGCTGTTGCCCTTCCACAGAATATTTTTGGACAGACTGGAAGAGAATGAAGCCATAGACCAGGACCTGCAGGCGTATATCCTCCATCGGATCCACAGCAGCTCGGAGATCCAGAACAACATCTCGCTCAACGGCAAAATGGACAACACCACGTTTGGCAAACTCAGTTCTCACCTCAAGACCTTGAGCCAAGGCTCCTATCTGTACCTAAAACTCACTTTTGATCTCATAGAGAAAGGATACCTGGTACTCAAAAGCTCCAGCTACAAAGTCGTCCCGGTGTCTCTGTCAGAAGTTTACCTGCTGCAGTGCAATATGAAGTTCCCAACGCAGTCTTCCTTTGATCGGGTCATGCCTCTCTTGAACGTGGCCGTGGCATCTCTGCATCCACTAACAGATGAACATATTTTTCAGGCCATTAACGCAGGTAACATTGAGGGCACTTTGGAGTGGGATGACTTTCAGCAGAGGATGGAGAACCTTTCTATGTTTCTTATCAAACGTAGAGATATGACGCGAATGTTTGTTCATCCCTCTTTCCGAGAATGGCTCATTTGGAGAGAAGAAGGTGAAAAGACCAAGTTTCTTTGTGATCCGAGGTAAGTGAATGCTCTGAGAAATCAGAGCTGACAAATGTGTTCATCTTGTACTGTTACCTGAGTCCTTTCATTACGAGGTCGCGATGGATTGGGGTTAAATTTATGTTGTTTGTGGAAAGAAATAAGCACCCCCTGGGCACACAACGGCCCTGCAAACCCAGAACGAGATGAGCTGTTCCTCAGAAGGCCCCGAGCTGACCAGCTCTGGGACAGGCATCACCAGGGGTGTCTGTGTTCTGGCCGATGGCTCCTGCCAGCTCAGTCTGGAGAAGGGAAATCTTCCTCCCTTTCTCCAAAGGTACCAAATCCACGGGAAGCAGAGGATAAGGAGGTGAAAGATGAGTATAGTGTGGATGCGTCTCTTGCAGTTGGCTTCCTTTTGAAGTTGTGTTCCTCATAGTCCTACTAAATGTTTTTTTGAAAGGAAAATAAGGAACAGAATCAGGCTGTGGTGATTTTGGACTGTAAATGCATCTGTAATCTCTGATCTGATAGCAGCCGAGTTCCTGGCTTAGCTCACAGGGAACAGAATTTAATCACGGGTGGATTTATGTTCTCTAAAGCCAGAGATCACCATTAACAACGTTATCTTTGTTTCTGCTGAAGAGTGGAAACAGACGCTCGGACTGTAATTCTAGTACTTTACCCCCATAAGCTTTGCTCCATTTTGTCTGCCCGTTTCTTAAAATATGATTATAAAAATCAGGGAAACACTCGGACTCTCGGCCGTGTCGGTGCATCTCCCAGACCCTGTGGTCAGTCTGAAGAAAATACGATGGTATCTGCTGGAACTGAAAAGCCACCTGGCTGATTAAAGCAGCAGAGCTGTTAGTGGTGTCAGAGTAATTTACCACTTTAAATTTTGTGGTAAACAGGCTGCAGGAGAAAAATGCTATCTAGCTCCTCCCGACGGGCATCTTCTCTGGTTTGGTAGGTTCTGCACAATGGTCTGATCGAGCGATCCCTTTGTAAAGCGTCTCGCAGCAGCAGGTGTCGTTATATCAATCAATGTTAGTTATTTAATACCCTTCCTCGGAGTCATTAAGTGCTTGTCACTGCGTAATGCTTTCCCTCCCTGGCTGCAGTGTCTGTGCGGCGCTTACCCCCGCCGAGCTGAGAGCTTTCTCCCTCCCAGTTGCTCCTGCTACTGGTTTTGTCTGGCCCCTGTGGTTTTGGCTGGTGTGGCCATAAGACCTCAGCCGGGCAGGGGACAGTGACCACCGTGCCTGGCATCTGTCACCAGTCACACAGCGCTGGCCCTAACGAACCACAACGAGAACAACTCAGAAAAACCCTGCTTTTATTTTCCAGGACAATAAAGTTCAGGTGCAGGGTGGTTACCAGGTGGGTGAGACCCCCCTCTCCGTGTGTGTGTGTGGCTGGGGAACTGGGAGCTTTGCTTCTTGGGGTCCAGAAATGCTCCTCATCGTTCTCAGAACACCAAATTCAGAACAAAACTCAAAACGCTGCATTTTGGGTGGTTTCACGCCGAAACCCAGCGTGTGGTTTTTAGCACGAAGACACAAAGCAGCCCGTGTTGACTGGAGGAGTCACCGGTGACGTGAGGGTCCTCTGCCCGGCGTTCAGCTCTGGTGCCACCTTTCAGGAGGATCAGGAGCGTGTGGCACTGCCCTCAAGACCCTTCAGGAGGCTTTCAGGTGTCACTGTTCATCCCCTATGTGCCATTGCACGTGATAAATTAATGGTGACTTTAAAATCTCCAGGGAAGGCTCATGCTCTTTGCGAGGAGGGAGTCCCCGTGGAGCTGACCCCACCGGGCTCCTTGCCACTGGCAAAAAAGAAGTTACAACACATACAACGGGCTCCCACCTCCTCGAGCGTGAGTCCATACGTACTGGAGGGCTAATAAATATCTCTACTGCATAATGTGCACTAATTGCATTATACTCTGATGGTAGATAATGAAACAGGATACATTTCAGTGATTAATAGAGAGGACCCCCTGAGACTCAGCTATTGCTCTCCTCAAATCCTCCTGTCCAGCTCTCGGGGAAGAGCTAATATTGAGATGTTGAGCTCAGAGCATGGTAAACCCTTAGCGACGATTAAGATAAGTAATGATTTTTCATTTTATTTCTTCTAAAAGAAGCAGGGCTCGCCGCTGCCGGAGCTCAAAGGAGAAGCCTGTGAAAATGTGCCTGTGTCTGGTTTGTTCACAGCAAATTTGAATTCTCTGCTCACTTGGGATTTGGGAAGAGATGGTGGCTGGATCGACCTCTCCTGAGGTTCAGCATCCGATGTCTCAGAGATGTGCCGTTAATGTGAAGCTTGTTGGCCTTGCCATGTCGATACGTAAAGAATCAGGTTGCCAAAGCTGATTTATTCCCCAGGAGAAGAGCTTTGAAGTGAAATGTGGTTTTGTGAAGCTGCTTTTAATTGACTTACCCTGACAGAGTGTCCAGGTGCGAGGACGTTGTGAAGGAAATTGGGATAATGGGCCTCGTATGGCTGGCAATGCAGCTGGGGTCATTTCCTTCATTTCCTTGATGAGTTCCCACGTTCTCAGAAGCAGGGAAAAGCTGGGAGAGGGAGAACACAGTGTCCAGAAATTATCCCATTTTTCTAGGCTTTTAGGATAACAGCAGATCTCCATCCTTCAGGTTTTTGTGATGCTTGTTGGGATGCTAACCCTCTTCTTTGAACACTCGCCGTGTGTTTGGTGTCCAGAGCAGAGCCTGGTTGGCCTTGGGACAGCATCGCTGCCGGCTCTGCCACCGGGGCACCCCCCAGCAGCCCATGGTATTTAATAACAAGGCACCAAAAAAGCCTTTGTCAGAGCGTTTAACCAGCATTGCAGTAATGACTTCCCCAGCCTGGCCGTGTAGCACCATTAACCAAGTGTCTTAGTTGACAAATAACATCAAATATTTCAGGGAAAGACCCAATCCTTTGTGACTGGTGCACGGAGAAAGTGCTTATTACTGTCCCTTCACCCTTACGCTTGTATTCCTTAACCTAATTTCTGCAGTAATGCTGGGCTGTTTTCTGCCTAGACTTAATCAGAAACTTCCATGTGATTATTTTCCGTGCTTTTACGGCGCTAATAAAATGTTTTATCCCTGTGCTGCTGATGAAGGGACTGGGAGAGAGACAGAAGTGAAGTGATTTGCCCTGGCAAGGCAGTAAAAGAGCTGTAGCAGATACAGAGCCCAGAAGTTAAATTACTCTGTCCAGATTTAAGTATCAACATCAGAGTTACTCGTCTAGACTTGCTTTATAGGCAGAGGAGAGGAAATAAGAGTGATTCATTTCAGCATGAGCTAAAAGGCTAAAATAGGTCAGATGAAGAGTGCCCGGGAAGCATCTCCTCCTGTTGATGTCTGACAGGAGCTCGGGGTGACGGGCTCACCAGGAGATGTCTCCAGTATGGACAAACCCGGCTGGAAGAGATGAATCTGTCCAGGCTGCTCTTTCACCAATACACAGGGGTTTGAGGTAGATTCCAGGAGATGTCTCCAGTATGGACAAACCCGGCTGGAAGAGATGAATCTGTGCAGGCTGCTCTTCTCACCAATACACAGGGGGTTGAGGTAGATCCACAGATTTCCTTTTCTTGTACAGGAAAGCTGAGAAAGGAAGAAGATACTCTCTACGCTGTTGCATGTATATGATTGATTTAGTTTGGGCTTTTGCTTCTCAGGGTAGCACTGGATCACCCAGCGTTGTGCGTGCTGGTGGTATGTCCCCTATTGTCACCCCTCACTCTGGAGCAGGGTAGAAACAGGCTTTTTATCTGCTCTGCTCAGGGAAATTCCCAGCATCCATGGACTCTTAGCAAAAATGAAGCATTTAGAACTTCACCTCTAGTGCTTCACCTCTAGGTTGGGTTCATCTCACCTCATTTTAGATGCTTGCAGTCCACGCATCTGTTCCTCGGGCAGTCACTCTGGTCTCCTGTAATACTTGAAGCATCATCTGGCCTGTTTTAGCCACTGACTTGGATGAGCTGAGTCCCATACCCCATCCCCTCCACTGCCTGGAGGCCAGTCCAGGATGGCTTGCTCAGGCGTGGACATGCTGCTCTGGGGAGGTGACCTGCTCCAGGCTGGACCTCGGAGAAGATGGGAAGCTGCAGAGGTGGAGGATTGCTCCTGTTTGCCATCTCGGGTAGGCAGAGCAGAAGTTCTGCTGAGCTGGGCTTTATTAAGGCCAGTCTACAAGTGAGAATAACAAAGAGTGATTTGTGTCTGCAGCAATTAAACCAATCCTCAACAACGATGAAGACTGTTCTGCTTCTGGTTCCTGGCTGCTCCACAGATGTTTGGTTAATTGCACTCACTTTGTGGTTTACCATATGATGGGGACAGAAGCTTTTCTCCTTCCTCAAGAAGAGCAAGAGAAGTGAGGACAGCAGTCACTGGCGTGATGATGGAGGAGAGTCTCCTGGTAGAGAACTTTGAGGGAATATCCTGCTCCACACGGGGTGCTGTCACCACGTGGAGATGCAGAGCTGTTCTCATGGATGCTGCAGATGCAGCGTTAGTGTGAAATCCCAAACATCTGTGGCTGGGTTTCCAGAAAAGCTGAGGGCTCAGGTATGGAGAGAGACCAGGCAGGCATTTAGCATCTCTCAAGATTCAGCGATGGCCCCACGGAGAGGATGTGGCTCTGAAAACCAAGCTTGGAAATACTGCATGAGGAATCGATGCTCTGCAAGAGACGTTCTCTGCAGTGCACCAAGAATTTATAGAATCACAGAACTGTCTGGGTTAGGAGGGACCTTTAAGATCATCAACCCAACACTGCCCAAACCCCCACTGACCCGTGTCCCTCAGCACCACATCTGCCCGGCTTTTAAATCCCTCCAGGGATGGTGACTCCACCACTGCCCTGGGCAGCTCCTGCTCATTAGAAGATATCTAATAATCAGAGATATCACCAAAAAAATAATAAGGGAGAAGTACTGGTGGCTCCATCGTTGAGGCTGAGGGCATCTCCTTATCTCTTCCCTCCTCTTCTGCATCCACAAACTAAATCTG